GCTCACTTGAAACGCAGAACAAATTAAAAAATTAAAAAAAAAAACAATGCGTCCCTGTTCGTCACGGCCAAGCATTAACACAACAAACGAAAACGCAGGTGATATCGTGGTGGAGGAAACAAAAAAAAAAAAAAAGAAAAAGTGTAAGCAATAAAAAATAAATAAATAATAATAATAAAGAGGGAAGGTTGAGGAAACCGCATTCATGTAGATATACTCTTTTCTCCCCACCCTTGCTATCACTGTGTGGTTACTTCTGTTCTTCTGCATCCATTTATATGTACAGACATTGGTAGGAAAAGGTTAAAGAAAAAAAAAAAGGGTGTCTCTCTCTCTCTCTCTTCTCCCTTCCTACCCTTCTCATTACTCATCCCTTCCCATGTAAATACAATTGGTCCTCTCAATAAAATCACATCAAATTTACTCCATTTCTCCTTTTATTGTTTTTCTTTTCTTTTTTTCTTTTTTTGCTTTGTTCCTTTTGCCTTCATTCAGTGGGTTTCTCCTTCCTTTTTTTATTCCAGTCGTTGCTTTAAACTCGTCCTCCGCATGTATTTCCCGCTCCACTCCCCACGCATAAGTTATTATTCACCAAAAGTATCATCCTTCCAATACACTTCCTCTGAAATCACATAAGTCGCTCCGATATTAACATAGTCCCTTCGTCATGCCTTGTGATTTTTGATCAATTCTCTTTTCCCTGATGGTTATACGGTTGACCACCTCATCGTGGTGCCAGTATCCCTTACCAAAGAACGCAGCTGCAATTCTTCGGAAAGCCAAAAGTCAACCATTCCGCAGCGAGCGCAGCGCTCCTGATCTCAGACTTTACAGCACCGCAATGTGGTCGCTACCGTGCTGCCAAAGAACGGATTTTTACTTTACCATACCCACGGCATCCTTACAGGGGCAAAGCGCCTGACCCTGAGACTGCGGCGAAAATTACATGTGGAAGTTGGCATCATGCGTGCCACGGCCAATTTCTTGGATTGCCGGACATGGGAACCACGGCCAGTCATCTCCAAACTACCCGTTCGTCTGAGCGGAGTGGGTGAGACACGATCCGGGGTCCTCCGGGACAAAGCGAAGAGCCCAACGGGAGACCGTCCCCCTGGCAATGCCAGCTGCCTCATCGCGGCGCCAGGGCCAATTGCTCCGTATTGTCGGGGGAAGCCAGCAATGTTTCCCTCATGGAGTCGTGGCTATTGGCGCAGGGCTGACGGCATCAACCAGCGCCCAGACCAGCTGCGTCTTACTGGGGGCACGACACAACACCATGAGGTCTGGAAGCATGCGTTGTCGTATTGTGGGCGATCAAATTTATCCAAAAACACAAGAGAAAAAAAAAACACCTAATTCCCTTTCCACACAAAATAAATGCCAACGCACAGAGACCACACACAGAAACACACACACCCTCCTCACACTCGTTGCCAACCATTTTCGTTTCCTGTTCTCCTTTTTCTTTTTTTTTGTTGTTGTTGTTTTCTTATCCTTTTACTTTGCGCTCGATTCTCTCTTCTCCCTATAAAACATTTAGTTTGTTTCTTCCCCTTTCTTGGTGTCGTTGTGGGAGGTGAGTGGGTGTGGGTGTGGCATCAGCGTAATTCTTGGATGGCGTTACGTAGCTGATCTTCGGACAACTGCATTTTGTTTTCTGTCCTCAATACATTTGGGTCCCAGTCGATCACAAACCACGGGTGGTGCATAATCTCCTCCACCGTCGCCCGCTTGCTTGGGTCTACGGCAAGCATCTTTGAGATGAGATCCCGCGATTCCGCTGAAAAGTGGCGGGCCATGCGGTACTCCCCACGTTCGATCTTTGTAAAAAGTGCATTAACGTTTTCATCATCAAACGGTAAATATCCAGCCAACATGACAAATAACACCACACCGCAGCTCCATATATCCGCCTTGACTCCATCGTAGCCACGTTCCTTAAGCACCTCAGGGGCTACGTAGTTGGGCGTTCCGCAAACCGTCTGCAGCATTGTGCCCTTTCCAGGCGAATTCCCGTAGTGAAGGTTGCTGAGTCCAAAGTCGGATATCTTGAGTGTATCATTCGCATCCAACAGCAAATTCTCCGGTTTCAGGTCCCTGTGAGCGATGCCATGTGTGTGGCAGTAGTGAATACCGGCGATGAGTTGATGGAAGTAATGGCGCGCTGTTGGCTCGTCGAAGCGTTTTGCCGCGGCAATTTTGTCAAATAGCTCCCCTCCTGTAACAAGCTCCAAAACAAGGTAGATGTGATTTGTCGTCTGCATGACCTCACGAAGCTCAATAATGTTTGGTTGATGCAACATTTTCATGACGGCAATCTCTCGCTTTAACTGCTCCTCCATACGCTCCCGTACAAGCTGCTCCTTGTCTATTATTTTAATTGCCCACTCCTTCCCGGTCTCAATATCACGACCAAGTTTCACCTTGGAGAAGTTGCCCGATCCAAGCGTCTTGCCGAGTTCATACTTCCCGATGCGCTTCGATCCCGCCATGCCTTTAATGCTTCGGTGCTGATTTGTTTCTCCGCCTCTGTCACTCTGCTTCCTTTGTGTGTATGTATGTGTGTGTGTGTGTGTTTTTTTCAAGCGGATTTCGGTGAAGGACTTCTTCCTTGCGGTGGTTGTGTTTCGCGTTGACCGGAAATTTCGACTTATTGCCCGGCGTCTATGCAATACACGGTGGACTCACAGATAGACAGACACAAAAACACAAAATCGCACAAAATGCCTTTCCTTCGCTCCGCCTTGTACCCCACGCCGGCAATTTCTTTTTGTTTTTGTCCTTTTTCCTCTTTTTTTTCTTCTTCTTTTCGTTTCTACACCTTCTTCTCACTCTCTTTTTCCCTTCTCTTCCTTTTTCGTGTTTTTGTTTTTTTCTGCTGCCCCTTCCCTCTTGTTTTGTTTTTCTTTTTTGCTTGTTTCGCTTGAGTGCGTTAAACTCCTCTGCTCCTTCTGCTGGATGCTTCGCACTCCTTTTATTTGATTTGATTTGATTTGATTGTTTGTTTGTTTTCTTTTCCTTTATTTGCCTTTGCGTTTGAACGGCACGAGTGGTGTGTGCCTTGCCTTAATTCCTTTCCTTCCTTCTCGCCCAGCCACACAGACAAACACACATGAGGGAAAGAAGAGAGACTGTGTGAGAGAGAGAGAGAGAGACGCGTAGACACGCGCACGCCCGCACCAACGAGGGCCTTCAACGTGCATCCACACCATCACCACCACCCCAATTGACGGCGGTGGATGCGGGCACGTCAGCAAATACGCATGCGTCACCGCAGAAAAAAAAAAAAAAGGACGCATGGACACACAAACAAACAAACAAACATCGATTCTCTTTTCTTTCAATCGCCTGCATCCTCGCTTTGGAGTGTGTGTGTGCGTGCGTCTGTTGGTTACATGAAGGAAGAAAATAAAAAAAAAAATTTCCCATTCCTTCTGTGGCTGCCCCCGTTTGTCGTTCCAATTCGCCTCCGAGGCGTCACCACTGTGTGGGATGCGCCCAATGAGGAACGGCTGGAAAAGTCCAACGACACACACAGACAATTACACAGGCACAGGGGAAAAACAAAAACAAAAAGAGAGAGAGAGAGAGAGAGCACATGTATACATACTTCTGCATGTACAATCGTTAGTAGGAAAAACATAACGGGATCACTGGCACCTCCTCGCACCCTTTGATTTACAACGAGACGTGTGCACCAAAGAACCACCGGCTGAGAAACAGACACGCATGCAAACAAATGTAGTAAACAATCAGCGAGCGCAAACACACAACAACAACAAAAGAAAAAAAAAGCGCATCGTTGCATACACACACAAACACACAGTTACATAAGAAGAAGGAAAAAGAAAAAAGATGCGTACAGATGCGGGATACAGCGAAAAAAAAAAAAAAGAAGAAAGAAAGGAAAAAAAGCGGTGGATCAAACGACCCACGCCGCCCCCCAACAGACAAGGACAACAAAAAATGAAAATGATGGGTGCTGAAGGTCCTGTTTACACAGCCACACGCATACACAAATTTATACGCATCAAGAGATGCCACACCCCTCTCTCCGTCCCTCCCTGCCCATGCCCCGTGATCACATCTCTCCGGTCATCCTTTCCCTCCCCCTCAGAAGAAAGTTTCCACAGAGAGAAATTAAAGGGAGAATGCACCCACAGTACAACAACAATAACACCAACAGTCCACTACTTGTTTTGGCCAGCCTTGTAACGGTTCCATTCCAACCCAACATCAAAGAAAGATGCATCCACACAGACAAAAAAAAAAAAATAATAATAATAATACACGCGTCTCCAAACATCGTAGTAAAAAGTCCACTCCGTCCCCCAGCTGACCAGTTCTGTTTTGCCTGCCAAAAAAACAAAAAGGGTCGATAAAAGCGAAAGCAGGAATTGTAACAAAAAAAAAAAAACACTGCATGATTACCGCAAATCAATAGCAACATCCCCCCTCCCGGCATATCCAGACTATTGTTTGTCGATCGCTATTGTTCCCTTTTTTCTTCTCCTTGACATTTTCTTTTTTTTTTTCCTGCTTTTCCTTCGTAAGTGAGTAACTGGCATGTAAATTCACACACACACACACACGCATACAAAAGACGGCAGTACGCGGCAACAGCAAATTAAACATGTATATACGTATGCCTGAACACATATATACGTCAAAAGTACAAAGTTACATGACGTTGCAGCACTTTGCCTTCGATTTCTGTTTCATATAGGTTGCATGCGTGGAATACAGTGCATCTTCCCTGTAGACACGTTTCCCCTCATCATAATGATCGGCTCTAACCTCGTCCATGCCTCCCGATTTGTTATCTCCTTCTGGCTTGGATACCACCGGTCTCTCGCTCAACGCTCTTCTTGATTCTGTCGGCGAAATTAATGCAACTTGAGATTGTCGTGCTTCTGACTCGTTTCGCTGCGCAATCTTTTCTCGTTCTTGAGATCCCGTCACACTTTTCTGTCGCACATTCACTTTGGAGACTTCCGTTTTGAATTCTGGCACTTCGCTTCCCTTATTGGCCTCCTCCCGTTCCTTATGGTTTACTTTATTTGCCTCATTTTGGTTCCTCTCCTGCTGAATTTTTTTCTCTTCCTCTTCCATAGCCACTCGCTTCAATTCCTCCAATGGCACACTCCTCTCTCTGTTTTTACTTCCAACCCTCATCTTCTCCCTCTCTTTTAGATTGCCAATTTTATTGGCTGAGGAAGGTGACATATTCCCCTTGAATCGGTGGGACAAGGTTGATTGGCCAGTATTCTTCTTTTCCTCCCTTAAAGGCTGTGCCGCCCTCTTCTCCGTCACCTCGTATACACCAATGACAGCCACAACAGATGTGGAGGCAGAGACCGAAGGCGATGCTGTATTCTCAGCCGGTACTCTACTTTGGCCTTGATTAATCAAGGGAGGATTTTGCCTCTGTTGAGCAAGGGGGAAAGAAATTGGTGCGGCTTCCGTGTCACTCTCAGAAGAAACAAAAACCTCAAAAGAACTCGTGCGCTCATCCGCGCAAGGCCATGGTTGTGAGGAGCCGTTTCTCTGCTCCAACGTCTTTTGAGCTGCAGCGACAGTAGCCACAGAAAAATCACGACTCTGAATCGCTGGCGAAGGCAAGTTTGTCGTGACACCTTGATTCCCCTTCTCTAAGTAAGGGCTCGCTGATACCACAGGGGAATTGACGGACACGGGACGGATGCCAGCGTCATGGATCTTCACACTAGTTTTTTCAGACACTTTTTTCAACCCAGAAGGGATAACATGGGCCAATGAAGACCGCCTCGAGTTCGGGGTGCCGACTAGCGATATGATTGCACCCTTTGAACAGGGCCGGACGCCCTTGTTGGAACAAGTTTTTGTATTGCTTGTTTTGAATTGCCTAACACCTCGTTTGGCTGCAGTTCTAGTATGATTTTTTCCCGGTATTCGGCGAGAGGTAACGGGTGACGACATAGCACAGCCAGATAGCAGCATCGGTGAGAGCGATGACAACAAACCCTCTGGGGTTGCGCTAGAAGAGGACACTTCCAAGGTAATAAGTGTCCCTCCTATCGACTCATCGCGTAGTGGGGAGACGTGCGCAGTAGCTGTGTCGGTCTTGGCGGCAATATCATATCTGGCTACTGCCCCCTCCGCATTCCTGTTGCTGCAAGTGCCAGTATTGACGGGCCGTTGAGTCCCACGAGCCGTTGATGCAGATTCTACCCTTGACAGACCCTCACTTATTGCCTCCTCCTCTCCGTTTCGAAACGACGATGTGAGTTGCGTGTTTACATTGGGAACCGCAGCCGTGTTACTGTTGTTTCTGTAGTGCGATGTACTGTCAAGAAGCCAATCTTTCTGCGAAGCACTCAGTTTTCTCAATGGTTCACAATTCGTAAGCTCCTCCAGCTCCTTGTAAATGTTTAAAGGGCCCATCGCATTCATTTGCCGTGGCATTCCGTCGTTGATATTTCCGTTTTATTGCGTATATATATATACGTGGGATAGAGAGCGTTAACAACAGACAGATAAAAGAAGCTGTCTAATATATTGACGCACACCCAATCTTTTTTTTCTTTTTCCTTTCTTTTCTTTTCGTCTCTTAGTGATATGCCTTTATTTGGACACCGTTCCCCCCTCCTCTCTCCAAAAGGAGCTTAAACAATTGAAAAATATTATGAAAATTCTCCCTACAGTTCCACTTCCTGACGTGTGCGGATATGTGTCCTTTGATTATGTTTTTGTTTTTGTTTTTTAGGTCCCTCTTTTTTTTTTTTGCCGTTTTCCACTTTTTTTACGTCTACTTCTCCACGTGTCGCGCGTTCCGGGCCTAATTGCGTGTATTGTAATTTAATGTAATTTTGTGTGTGTGTGTGTGTGGCTGCGCCCCTCTTGTCTTCACTCACCCTCTCGCTCTTGCGTACTGTTGCCCCCCTCCCCCACCCCCCGTTTTTCTTGTTTTCTTTTCTTCTTCTTCCCCCGCCTCCCAAACTCACCGCAGACGCACGCCTGGTCTCGAGAACACTCAAGCAGCTCTCGTCGCTGCAGCGTAAAAGATGCGTGTTTGTTCGGGGGAAAAAAAAAAAAAAAAAAAAAAAAAAGGGAAGAGAAGTGAAGAGAAGTGAAGAGAAGTGAAGAGAAGAGAAGCCAACAGGAAAAAAAAAAATTATATTCGTACAAAAGTAAAAAGTAATTCATGGACAAACGTCTACAGAAGACAAGAGCAGAAACACATACATGTATGCATGTGTGTGTATATATGGGGCCTTTTTCTTTTTTTCCTTTTTTTTTTTTTTTTGCGGATGAGAGGGCCGAACAATAACAGTAAAAGAAAGAAAGAGGTGGGGGGGGGGGGGGGAAAAGATAAATATAAAAAAAGAAAAAAAAAAAAAAAAAAAAAGAATGACGAGTCACTTTTCATCGTGCAGAAAACACAATACCGAGAAAAAGGGACAAAGCAACAATTACATTAAAGGGTAAAAAGTAAGAGCCAACAACAACAACAACAAAAACAGAAAAGAAAAAAAAAAACAAAGACGAAGACGAAGACGAAGAGAAAAAAAAAAAAAAAAAAGGAAAGGAAGGAAAAATGAGATAAAACGAGGTGTAAATCCTCAATAAGAAAAACCGATGCATGTCAATTCCCTTTTTTGTTTCTTCTGGCTTTTCAAATCAATGTGTGTATATTATGCACCGCTCTCATTCCCTCTCCCTCTCCCTCTCTCCCTGTCTCTCTCTCTCTTTATATATATATATTGCTTGCTTGCCTGCTTACTTCTGCCGCCTCAGCTGCGGGCTGGTGTATGACCCCTTTCATTTATTCATCTCCATCGGCTGCCTCATTATGAGTAGTCCCTTAGTAATGTATGTAAGAATGTGTATACTTCTTCCATGTCTTTCCCCCACACTTCGCATGCGGCGTGGGGGGTGGGGGGAAAAAAAAAAAAAAAAAAAGAAAAAAAGTCAAATGACAAGGAAGAAACAAACAATAGCAAAAAAAAAAAGGAAAAAAAGCAAAAAAAAAAAAAAGTCCAGCGGCTCATATCCACAAATGCCAATGCAGACGAATACTTTTATGTATTGTAATAAACACGTGTTTCTGCAAATGTAGAAACATGCTTCATTTCCGCAGCGCCTTATTTACGCTCCTCCAACAACATGTGGACTGTTCCCCCCCAATCCCCACACACAAACACCTCCCCCCCCCCTTTCCACTCCCCACGTACTTGTGTGTTACTGTGCGACTCCCCACTCCATGCACTCGTAATTATTTCTTTCGTTGAACACCAAACTTACAATAAAGAAAGCAACAAATGTAAGCAAAAAAAAAAAAAAACGCAAAAAAAAAAAAAAAAGTGGGTTAATGAAAACAGTAGAAGCGGACTGCTGGAAACAACAACGAATATTCTATGTTTTATTTTTTTTTTTTTCGTTTCTTTTTCCTCTTATGTCTTGTCGGTTGTTCGACTTTATTCTGTCCCTTCAGCTCTCTTCTTTTCTGCTTGTTTGTTGCTGCTATTTTTGGTCCCCACCCCACTTGAGGGAATGGGCGAGAGTGGGTCTTTCGCTGTTGCCTCCCACCCACTCCCTGCAGGCCGTTTCTTTTTATTTGTTGCCTCTCACTCCCTCCTCCCCGACTCTGGAGCGGCTCAGGCTTGTTTGCCGCAGACGTCTCCTTGACTCCCCCGTCTCATGCCTTTTGGGCCTCGTCTCGTCTCGTGCGCGGCTGCAACCGGAGAGAAGGTGGAAGAACAAAAAAAAAAAAGAGGGTGACGGAACCAGCCACAACAAAGAAAAAAAGAAGTGAAGGCTCAAAGAATGATGTCAACAAACGCTACGGCAGGCCATCGCCTTTATTTAATTCTCCGACACGCATAAGCGCACACACACGGCGGCAGAGACATTTTGCGGTGACATGCACACAGACATTTAAAAGAGAAGGAAACGAAAATAAATAAAACGAATTCGGTTTTGGTTTTGTTTGGGTGTTTCCTTTTCGGTGATGCCTGAACTCATGCATTCTTTCATCACTGTCGTATTTTTTGTTTTTTTGTTGTTGTTTCTTTTTTTTTTTTTTTTTTGGAAGTGGAGGAAAGAGGGAGGGAAAAAAAAAAAAAAGGGGAAAAGAGAAGCGACTTTTCTTCGACTCTCACAGCATCCCTTTTGTCCATCATATACCATGTTATATAAATATATATATATATATGACTTCCTTTGACCATGCATGGATGTGTTACCAGGGAAGTGTAACTTCCTGTCTCACTTCCCTGGTGGTTTTGTTTTTCTTGTTGTTGTTAATTTTATTTTTCGTGTTCTTTCCTTCGGTTTCAGCTTCGTTACATATGAGCAGTAGCGGGGATTTCCTCCACCTCCACCTCCTCCTCCTCCTCTTTTCCAGTCATACCGCTGGTGGCAGCAAGCAGAACACTTGCCTTAAAGAAAAAAAAACACACAAAATAACCAGAGAGAGAGAGAGGTGGCCAAATGTATATAACTATGTAACTTTATACGGTTGTGTACGTGTATATGGTTTTATCAACTTACCATTGGATGCCTCTTTCCCGGCCGCTTTTTTTTCCCCCTTTTTTATCTACACTTGTGTCTCGTGGTTCTGATGACGTTGTCCGCTCCATTACTTCCATCCACCCACCCACCCAACTACGCCGTGGCCCTCGTGGACTTCACTTCGCCCACTTTAGGAGGCATCCAACGCAGATGCCTTGAGAAGGCTTTCTGCAAAAATGGATGCTTCAACAATTCATCGGCGCTCCACCGTTCCTCCGGCTGCATTCGAAGGCAGCTGCTAAGAAATTCGCGATAGAGACCGAAGCATGTATACTCCTCCCGTGTTTCCTCGCGTCCCGCAAACTGCTCAACTTCCTCCTCCGTCGGCAGGCCATGGGGCGGTCCATTCACTTTCCCAATACGGTAAAGAAATATATACGGGTTGAGATCTCCCGCGACATTCCAAATAGGGCGTTGCAACATCTCAATACCCACACAACCCAATGCCCATATGTCACCTGCTGTTGCTGGAGGTGCCCCGTGAATAATCTCTGGTGCCATCCATAGGGGTGAGCCCTGCATTTCCTCCCGTCCCTCAACTTCATGAAGAGTACCACTACATCCAAAGTCCGCCAGTTTGCAGCGGCCCTTCTTCGTGATCAGAATATTTTCACCCTTTATATCCCGATGCACAATGGCCATATTATGCAAGTATTGAAGACCACGTAAGATTTGAATCATGTACTTTTGTATCACCACAAGTGGCAGACTACCAAATTTCTTCACCATGGTGGAAATATTGCCGCATTCCACGTACTCAGTAAACACACGCAACTCACGCTCCCGCTCAAGATATGTACTTCCAAGAAAACGTATGATATTATTGTGCCGAGCCGCACGCAAAACGTCAAGTTCCTTCCGCATTGAATGAAGAAAGTCCTCATCCACATTTTCATTGACCTTCACAATTTTCACCGCAACAACAGTGGAGTGACCAGGCAATAAGCCCAAGTACACGGCGCCAAAAGTACCGCGGCCAATCAAATTTCCCAGCTGTACCTTTTCCAAATCTTCCTTTATAATGGCATCTATCGCCCCACGACGGGAAACGGATGAAGTGGTGGACAAGCAACTCGACGTGCTCATTTGACGGCCCAGAAAATTCCTAGAGGACATCGCACGAAGCTGATCCAAAGCATCCTTATTAAGTTGTGTAAATAGCGTCACTGTATTCCGGCGCCCTATTTTGGTTGCATTATGCGCAGCACTCTCTCCACACAGTGAACCACTCATATGAATCGTTCTAGCCGAAGACGCATTTTGGTTTAAGTACGGTTCCAGTCGTAGAAGCCCCACCATTTTAGGATGTCGAACCAAAAAATGATTTTGTACCACTGCATCCAGAAAAGTCTGACATTCTGCCCGACGCTCCGCAACGAAACTCTCTGGGACATAACGTACACTCGGTATGCGAAAAACTGAAATTTGCGGGAGTGTATGCATCAGAGACTGCAGTTCCTGAAACAGAGGCACCAAATCCGAAAAGTAACGGCACCTGACGGAGTAAAACTCTTCCCTGCTATCACGATCGCGCAAAGAAAGAATAAAAGCAATTTTTCTTGCCTCTACTCTATCGGCGGAAGCCGAACTTCGTCGAAGTCCAGACGTTCGTTGCGATGTACCCTCGCCTCCTTCTGTGGCCAAGCCAGGATTTTGATCCAGACTAAACCGAGACGTCATTAAAGAAGCGGCATTCTCCTGACGCGGATTCGATGAAGAAAAGTGTCGTGTGACAGTAAACTTACTCCCTGAAACAGAGGGTACAGGAACAGCAGTTTGGTTCACTGTACTTGTAGAAAGAGATGAAGAAAAACATTGTGTTGCTGGACTCAGAAGCGATTCATCCGGTGATGCATACTGTGGTTCTTCTACTTCAATATATAACCGATCAATATTTACGTGTAAAGTCGGTAAACCCGACGCGTTATCCAGGAAAGGCTGACGCTGTGACGTCACCTCTGCAGCCAACTCTTTTTCCTGCGATGATGCACCCGCCCTGGATGATCCCCGTTCCAAGGACGAGAGAGACGATGAGGAAGAGGAAGAGGAAGAGAGGGAAAAGGTCCGCAAAGTATCACATGTTGTTATTTCACACCTTCCAAAGCTTCTAGACGTGGGATCTACATGAGAAGTTGGGGCCTGCTGCACTTGTAACCCTTGTTCTTGTTTTTGACCTTGTATTCTTTGCGCTTTTGTCTTGCTGTTTCCTGGTGTCGATGTTAAACTCGACCCCTTCCGCGCAGGACATCCCCTAGGGACGTCACCACCATTCTTTGACGCTGCAGAAGCATGCATGGCCGGGGATCTTGTCCCATCCGTCGAAGATTGTACAGAATTGAGGGGAGGTGCACTAGCTGGTTGAGACGCAGAACTTTGTGTGGCCTTCGTCTTTACCGTCTCCTTACGCGCCATTGAAGATGTAGTACGAAAACTTTGCGATGATATAGAAGCCTTCAGCTTTCCATCATTACTACCGGTATGCAAAGGAGCGGCGCTCCTTTGCAATTCATATGTTTCATCATTGGCCATGGTATCTGAGGATGCATCCGCTAAAAGTATAAAATCATCCGCACGGGGTGTCTTGGGTGGTACGTAACAAGAATCGGACTGTAGTAATGGGGGCAATGCTATTGGCCCCACTGCGTTTGCATACTTCTCATCACTCCCTGCTCCATTTCCTTCAGCACTAGAAGATTCAACAGCGTATGACGCATCCACCACGACTGTCTCGCGAGCCTTAACCCGTTTCTCTCTTGAACTGGTCCCCTCGCATGCTTTTTTCGCAGAAGAAGGAAGAGAAATAGGGGCTGCAGCAGGGTCAAGTTTCCCCAGATGCAAAGTTGTTACCTTTTGTTCGCCATCTCCCTTTGTCTCTTGCACCTCTGTGACGCCGCTTTCCCCTACTTCTTCCGTCGACGGCGGGCCTGGCTTCTTGACTTTGGCTCGCGGTGGCACAGCAGGCGCCTTACGACGTGGTGCACTTGCCACCGCGGAAGCGAGGAGTGAATTATTCGTGGCGCTCACGTAACTATCTTCATTCGTCCCCTGTGTTGAGGAATCGGTGGGGTTGCTGACAAGACACATTGCATCCTTCACAATAATCCCAGCAGCAGCAGCTTGATAACATGCTGTATTCGAAATATAGTCCATAATGTGTGGTTGTCGAGAGGGACTGGACGTAACCTTTGCGCCCTCCACCCGTGGTGTCAAAGGCCTCCCGCGCGGTGGATGAGGCAAAGAAGACATTGGCACATCAAAACTGCTGCCATTATTCCTAAATTGTTCAGGCGGTACCGAGTCCGCCTCCTCACTGTCCATCGCACTAAAGTTTGCCCAATGAAAAGGCTCCCCTAACCCACTTACCACGGAAGATATACTGCCCATTCGGGCCCGCGTGGTCGCCTGTGAGAGCAACTCGTTCGCCTGACGTTGCTGCAGTCGTGACCACGACTTTTTTGCCGTCTTCCCCACACAGCCGCTGCACTTGAGACCAGATTTGCGCAGTACAAAATCGGAGCCAAAATGGCCGCAAACCACGCAGAAGGTACGCGCCTCAAGCATCATGGACTCGGATACGGAGGGTCCAACCAACGAGTTGGTCTCCACGTGCGAGTTTGCCGAATCCATCCTGCCAAGCGGTGAGTATCTGCGTATCTAGAAACAGTCGTGCCGTGCCAACAGAGTGCAATCCGCCAGTCGTCCGTGGGAAATAAAGGCGCCCAAAAATAAAATACAAAAAAAGGACCGCGGATCCCCGGAACTCCTGACAATAACGACGGGGACGGACACACGCAAGAGATTTAAAAAAAAAAGAAAAAAAAAAGAAATTCCCCTAAAACTATACAAACCACAAAAAAAAAAAAGAAAAATCGAATTTTCAAAAATAAAGTTCCTAAAAATTGGAATCACGGATTCCCTAATAGACCCACCACCACCACCCCAAAAAAAAAAAAAAAAAGGCAAGAGTGAGGGAGAAAGTAAACCAAATAAATGTGAGACGACAAATGCAATCATGACATTAAAGTCAGCAGGGAGTTGCCATGGCACCCCGTAGCAGCAGCAAAAAGCATGGAAGGGAGTAAAGAGACACCATCACATCACTGCAGGTTCATTAACACAGATATATATATATACGGGTAGGTGGATATGACGACCACTAGAAAGTTGCATGGCGGGGAGTGCAGATATCGACAGAAGACATCACCTTTCCGCACCCTAAGAAAGTTGCCGCATAAAGAAGAAAAAAGGCAAAATAAATACAGAAAAGCGACAAGCGAAAAAGAAAAAAAAAAAATTTATGGCGATGTTAAAATAATGACGTGGGAGCAAAAAAAAAAAAAAAAAAAAGGAAGGATGGGGAAAAGATGGAGGAGTCCAGATCATTACTATCACATATCCATCTTTGCCTCCTCTCCACTTTCCCACATACACACACACAAGCACCGCCCCCAGACTCCCCTGATCATTATTCCTCTCCCTCTCCCTTCCCGCATAAATTTCTCATGATGTACACAGCGCCACACACACAGACACACAGACAGAAAGAAAAAAGGGGAAAAAAAGGACCTGTCAAAGAGAAAGGAGATGATAAATAAAAAAGAAAAAAAGGGAGGGACTAGGGAAAAGCTCATAAAACGTCACACGAATAAAAAGAAAAGCACTGATGCAAGACAGAAATCAAAGCACATGAAATAAGAAATACACAGCAAAAGGGGCAGGGGGGAAATAAAAAAGAAGAGAAACGTCCACGTAAGCAAAGAAACCACGCAAAAATATTTGGTGTAGACAGAAAGAAAGAAAAAATTGTTGAATTTTCATTCAATCGTTATTTCTTCGTTGTTGTATTTTTTTTTTCCTTTGACTGCACTGACATTCTTTTCTTTTTCTTTGTTCGTTCCACCCCATTCCTTGCCCCCTTTTTTCTCTTTTCGTGCGCCATGCTCCAGTTACCCTGGGGTGTACATGCAGCGTACTTCTGTAACCAACACTGTGTGTGTGTGTGGTGGTGGGGAGGGTGGTTCCCCATTGCAGGTCTTCCAAAGCCAATATATGTACAATATGCTTCCTTCCCTCTTCCTCCTTCTCCGTAAAGCGGCCGCAGCATCAAATCCTTCTTTTCCATCTTGACGCTTTTGTTGTTGTTTCTTTCATAGCCCTTAAAGATTTATTTTTTTTTTTTTTAATCCACACACACCGCCAAATTCTCTTTATTCCTTCACTCCTGCATGGTGGGTTTGTGCCTAAAGTACCCAACAGCATTTCCTCCCTCCGTCTCACTCCTTTTCCTCATGCCCTCCTCGTTGTTTTTTTCCCTCTTTTTTTTCTCATCTCCATCTTCATCCTCATGTCCCTTCTCATTCATTCCCGCCGCTTTTTTCTTCTTTTTTTTTTTTACTTGCGGGTGTTTTTGTAAATCACGTGGAGGCTGCAGGAGTTATTTCCCTTCCCCGCTCCTCATCTTCCGCTGCGGCTTCTGCCGGTGTGTGTGTGTTGTCCCATCACGCTGCTTCGCCCCCTAAACATAAAAACAAAAGCAAACACACAGAGCCTGTTTCTCCTTTTCTTTTTTATTCTTTTTTTTTCTCTTTTTCTCCACTTGTGTGTGTGTTTGTTTTGTTCTTTCTTTTTTTTTTTTACTTTTCATTTTTGTTTTTGTTTTGTTTTTTTATTTCGCTCATCAACATTTTTTTTTCTTTTTTTTCTTTTTTTTTTTTTTTTCTTTTTTTTTTCTTTTGCTGCTTTCGTCCCTTCTCTCCAACTTCGTCAATGCCTTTATTTTTTTTTTTTTTCTTTTTTTTTTTTTTTTCGGCTGGAAAAGACTCTAATTTATCATGTATCCCGCCACAAGTTCTCCTGTCCTTCCGTCTGACTTCTGCACCGGCTCTCTTATTTTTAATTTTATTTTTTATTTTATTTCTCAATTTTTTTTTTTTTTCTTTTGAGGGGAGTTTTTGTCCACCAAATTAGTTGCTCTCCCCTCCTTCCCTCCTAATGGCCTCATCAAGAAGACTCCCTTCCACCACAACTCCATCCGCGTCAAAGCAGAATACATACGCGTGTATACATGCATGCATGCACATGTATATATTTATATGCATACACGGGTACGCCTTCACGGCATTAGGTTTTGTGGAAGATACTTTTGCCTCAGTACCAATAAGCAAGAAAGGGAAAAGAAAAAAAAAAAAAAAAAAAATACATGTAAATGGAAGAGTTAACTCACACAGGAGAAAGTCCATTTGAGCCTGAGAAGAAATCTCCTCAGTTTCTTTTTTTTTTTGTTTTTGTTGTTGCTGTTGGTTTTTGTTTTCTTTGATCCTCTCTAACGCACAGCCGTTTTTCTTTCTTTCCCATTGGCCTACCTGTGCCTTGAGGAGTGGTTTTTCATGTCGCTTTTTGTTGTTGTTGTTGTTCTTCTTCTTCTTGGTTAATCTGTTAAAATTCACCCCACACACACACACAATCGTGCCGCTGTCAAGTCCTCTTAAATCTTCGCATGTCCGTTGTTCACCGCCTGCCATTTTACCCCCTTTTTTATTTTTCCTTTTGTGTTTGTGCGTGTTTACCGTTTAATCACGACGCCTGCGATAAGATGGACTGCTCGATCGCGATCGACTACTATAACTGCGGCTGCGCTCCCGGCGTCGTTTGTCCCGTCTGTCCCGTCGACGGTATTCACGGCTGTCATCGGAGTCCACACTGCTTCTGCGGCTGGAGCTAGAGCGACTGCTGTAGCTGTAACTTCTGCGTCGACGATAGCGGCGGCGATCGAGGCTATCACTCCTACGACTACGTTGCCGACGACGACGACGGACCGGGCTGCGGCTACGCTTCTCCATACGGCCACCAAAGCGAGAGCTCTTGTTGTCACGACTGTACTGAACAGAAAGACGGCAATCACCAATGTACTGATTATTAAGTTCATGAATCATTCTCGATGCGTGCGCCATATCCGCCACGTCGATAAACGCGCATTGCCCGCGTCGCCGAAATCCGGTGACCGGTGCAATCTCCTCCAGTTTGCTGCGAAGCTCTCTGTCGGAGATGGCACCGCCGGCTGGACCCAAACCGACAAAAAGCGACGTCCTCCCAGAGTTATTCAAATTGTTGTTGTGATTTTGATTACCTGGGGGACGCTGCTTATCTTTATTGCGGCTGATCTGCACCGCCATGCGTGCATCACCAATAAGTTTACCGTCCAACTCCGCCACAAGTCTTTCCGCAGTCTCCGGGTCAGGCACATCCGCAAAGGCGCAACGACCACGGATGCGCACGCCAAGCACAGGCGCCACCTCTTCAAGGCGCTGACGTAGTGCATCGTCGGAAATGCTGGAGGCCGCGGGGCCGAGTCCAATAAAAACGGACGTTGGGTTCATCGTGGCGGTGCTAGCAGTGTTGTTGTTGTTGTTGTTCTTCTCATGGCTGATGGTGCGGGGTGGCTCTTCGACGCTGTCACCACTTCTGGACTCAGACATCCCCGTTTCTGATGTGTGTACGTCGTTGTTCACTTCCCCAAAAAAATGAGTATCTTACAAAAAGAACGACGCATCCAAAACCGACCGTACACGTTTCGACCCAAGCAACACCGCCACACACACAAACGGCAAGAGAAGACAAGAAAAGAAAAGAAAAGAGAGTTACGGTAAATAGAAGTCACCATCCATGCACACAAGAGCGCCAACAGACAACAGAAAAAAATTAAAAAAAAAAAATTTTAAAAAAAAAGAAAAAAAAAAAAGGAAAGAAAGAAGGAGGGGTTGCATCGCCCCACACCAAAATGGAAAACCCATAAGAAGAAGAAAAAATCATTAATAAAATATTTATTTATTTATTTATTTTATACTTTTTTTTTTCTTCTTATTTATTTTTGCTCCAGCGGTAACAAAAATAGAGTGAAATTTCCCTCCCACACACACACACACAAAACAAAACAAAACAAAACAAAAAAAATAGATTGGACTGGGGGAATTACGGTTGGGGAATAGAGATGGGAGGGAGAGTGTGAAATACATGAAGGAAACAACTGAAATTATTTAACCATGCACACGCAATACAATACAAAACAGTGTGCTCCCACGTCACATCCGCAGATGACTCCTTATCGTTCTCTTCAACTTCATTATGACACTCCTCCTCCCAACCCTCCCCGCTGGTCCATTACGCCCCGAGGCGTCCGGTGGACGCATACAAACAAAAACAAAAAATAAATAAAAAAATAAATAAATAAAAGAAAGAAAGAAAGAAGGCAGGGAGGTGGAGGGATGTGCCTTGACGCCTGCAGGAAGACAGCCACGAGGAGAAGAAATGAAAAAAAAAAAAAAAAAGTAGGCGCCGCCCTTCTCCCCCTTGTGGATCGCAGCCCACATGCCTCCTCCCCTCCTCCCCCCGCACGCCCGTCCGGCAGAAACAAACATAAAAAACACCACAAAACAAAAGTGTAGTTAAAAAAAAAAAAATACGAAAAAAAAAGTCCACGTGGCGGTGTCGTCGGTGATGAGAAGGGGGAAAAAAAAAAAAAAAAAAAGGGGGGGGGGGGGGAAACGTGCAGCCGCCAAACATTTCGGGTGAGTTGCATGCAAACAAAACAAACGTTGAGAAACAAACGACGGCATCCTCCTCCCCTCCTCCCTCCCCGAGCACGCACACACGAGGTGGAAATCAAACAACTGAAAAATTTTAAAAAAAATAAAAAAAAAAGAAATTACAACACTGCGAGGCACACATGACAAGAAAAGAAACACAAAATAAAAAGAAAAGAAAAAAAAATGATCGCACGATATATATATATATTTATAAATATTTATATTTAATACAAGCATTACTGAAAAACCAAAAAAGAAAAGAAAAAAAGAAAAAAGAAGACAACAGATACAACGCAATCGATACATTGTTACCGTTGATGGAATGTTAATTACATGCAAGCATACAATAATAATAATTCATTCATTCATGCATTCATTAGTGGTGGTACTTGTCTCTGTAATGTAAGAACACAAATATCGTTTTGAAATTTAAAAAAAAAAAAAAAAACAAGATAGATGCAGCCCTCTGTAATTACATTATTATAAACAACCGTCCCAGGCACCACAGAAATTCCTAATCAACAAAACCGAATACATACGTGTACATACATACAGGGATACATAGATACAAATACATAGATACATAGATACATACACACATAAACACACACATTTATATTTACACCACTTGACTTTTATTAGTTATCCACTCTTGGTGTTGTGTTTAGATATGCGAATACTTTTTTTTTTTCTTTTCTTTCTTCATTGCCCTTTTTTTTTTTTATTATTATTATTTTTATTATTTTGAATAAATTCAGCCGTGGCGCCGCCCAACACTCCCCCCGTTCCCCCCCTGCCCCTCTACAAACACAAACAAACGCAATCGCTCTTATGGACGTTGGATCGCCTAAAATTGTTTTTTTTTTTCTTTTTTGTGGAGCCGCGCCACGAGGGGGAGAAGGAGAAGGGGCCCCCCAACAAAAAGGCAGCCAAAAAAAAAAAAAAAAGGACCAAAGACAATAAAAAAAAAAGAAAAAAAAACTGCAATGTGGATGTCCGTGCATCAAAACCATGGTGGGTGGGAACACATTTTGGGGCGGTGTGCTGCCTCGCTGTGAGGGCTGTGGGGATGAATGCACATAAAGGAAACAAACAAACAAACAGGGAAAAGAAAAGAAAAAAGCAGACGGAAAAGATTACAGTGAAAAGAAGGAAAAGAATGGGGTGAAAGGGGGTGGGGGTGGAGGGGAAAAAAAGAAAAAAAAAAAAAAAGAAGCAACACACGGCAGAAAAAACAACGTTGCAGCCCTCACACACACTTCACACAACCGTCACGCGCGATTAAATACGAAAAAAACAAATATATTTTTTTATCCCACTCCTCTCCCCCTCTCCCCCCATTCATAGCACCCCTCGTGTGAGCACTCATTACGTGTACGCAAAACAAAAAACAAAAACAAGCGCCCGCCCCCACACCCACAAACACAAACACAAACAAAAACCACTCAACCCGCCAGGGAGGAAAAGAAAAAGAAAAAAAAAAATGAATGAATGAATAAACACAACACGTTGAATTATAAGTGTAGAGCCACACACTTACAGTGAGGACCTTTATATAAATATTTATATGCGTGTGTGTGTGTGTGTGTGCATGTAACGGTAACGGGACGCATAACTGATAAACATATACGCGTATGTGTGCAGAGCTTTTCGCCTTCTTCTTCACTTTACCCAGAAAAATACATAACATCCAAACAGAAAACCCCCACCCACACACCCACCCACACACTCCATCACCTCCTTCAGTCGAAGATGCACACGCAACCAAAATACACGGCAAAAAAAAAAAAAAAAAAAAAAAAAAAAACGGTAAAAATAAAAAATCCATTACTTTTTTGTTTGTTCGTTTTTTTTCGTTTTGTTGTTTTCCGATAAATATTTCAAGAGACACCAGACCAAACCGGGAAAAAAAAAAAAAAGAAAAGAAAAAAAAAAAAAGCACAGATGCATACATCTTAAAAAAAAAAAAAAAAAAAGAAGAAAAGACACACGCAGAAAAAAAAAACCAAAAACCAAAAACCAAAAAAAAAAAAGAAAAAAAACATCAAAAGATGTCAGAAACCAACAAACACAAGGAATTAAAGTAACAATTATAATAATAAAGGGAAAAAAAAAAAAAATCACTATCAATAAATGAAGAGAGGGCGTAATGGGTGGGAAAGAAAAGAAAAAAAGAAGAAAAAAGAGAGGGTTATTTAGGATTAGTTACAGTGAAGGGGGATGGGGTGGAGGAGTGAAGGGGAAATAACAACAAAACCAACAACGGCAGCAGCAGCAGCAGCAGTAAAAAAAAAAAAAGGGGGGGATGGAAATATTCCCACAACCCGCACAACAACTTCCTCCAAGAGAGAGAGACAACAAAATCAAGAGCACACACACAGAGACCAGACAGACACATAAAAGGAGAGAGAGAGAAAGAGGCCCGCACACGCATACCCCGCACCCAACAATAACGCGCATCGTTTTTTGTTTTTTTTTTTCTCTTTTCTTTTCCTTTTTTTTTTTCTCTCCTCACTTTTTGCTGCCCGCCCACTGCTGCTGCTGCTGCGGATGTCTTTAAACTTCCCTCCACTCTCTTTTCCACAAGAAAAAAAAAAAAAAAAAAAAGCAAACAATCAAAACAAACACAAAACTCGAGCAGGACCGCGGCATTCCTTCACCTCATTTATATTTTTTATTTATTTATTCATCCTCCTCACGCTTTTTACCACTCGCTCCCGCTCTCTTTTGTCTCCCGTACAGAAGAATAAAAGGATATAGAAGAAGAGGGGGCAAAGGCGTTACGGATGCAAACAAAAAAGAAGACGATTGTTACTTATGACGGTACCAAAAAAAAAAAAAAAAGCCACACATAACGGTTCATGCAATGCACACTCAAAGAGAATACGAGTTTTGTTTTTTTTTTCTTCTTTTGTTTTGTTATTTCCTTCTGTTATTGC